ATATATATATATATATATATATATATATTATATAATGGGGATGTTGGGTAATAGTCCATTTTCATACCATTTTAATTATCAATTAAAAGAAAAAAGTTATTGTTTCATTTTTTTGACTGATGTAGCTTTGCATTTTAATAAATAATTTAGCATAAACAGTAATAAATTAACAAATTAGCACAAAAATACAAAAGTTTTTTCTCAGGTAGGTCTAACAGTAACTATTCAGGAACAAATTATGTGTAAATTTATATAAAAAATTAAAATCACTTTTTCAGTATGAAAATTTCATATCACGATTATAGTGACCAAAGTTATCACGGTTATCAATACTGTCACGGTTTTGTTAAAATTAGATATAAACGTTCAAAAAGAACTGATACACACTGAAAACATTTCATTAAGTTTTATATTTGAAAATCAACAAATACAATTAGCAGCTATAGGCACTTTTTTTTTTATTTTATTTTTTATTTTTTTAGCAAAAACATTAAATTAACGCGTGTGTGGTGATCATGTGATCTTCGGTTAGGAGATCTTGTGATGCTTTTTAAAGCAAAGTTGGGGTTGATTTCGAGTTCACATACAAACATAAATAGAATAGGCTAATTAAATTTTTCTAATTTAATGTAAGACAACATATTTTTCGTCAGTGATAAAAATATGATTTAAGACGGTAGTGTAAGCAAGTTTAGTTTGAAAACGTTTAATAGTAAATAAGACACAATTAAACAATATTTGAATAAAATAATAATAATAATAATAATAAATATTTATTTGCAACAACTGATGGAGTACTGAATGCTGCACGCACGCGCAGCGTTGTCAAGGTAACATTTGGCCAGTCATTCCCTTCGCCAAGGGAGTTCCAAACGCTTATATGAGACAGTAATACCCTGCACCCTTCAAAGAACACACTTCAAGGGCTCTGCCCTTCGAAGGGAGTAGGGCATAGGGATGCTCACTTCTGTTTGGAATTCGCCCCATGTCTCTTGTATCACCGCAGAGGCGCGGACGCGGCTCTCTCGTTTCATTCAAATGCAGCTTGCCGTCTTGCGTCTCAGTTTTTGATTGTATTGAAAATGAAATCAGAGAAATTTAGTATTAATACTACTATAATTTTGCTGTAGTGATCATACTGTCCTGACGATTGTTTTGTACACTGTTCATAATGGATTTATAAACAGGTAAGATTTCAAAACATTAATCTCAATTCAATATTTCATATCCCCGTATTTATATATTATTTTAGTTAAAAAAAAATAATAAATCAGTGTAATAAGTTAACTATGAATATAGAATACATTATCCCTTAAATGTCAACCTTATAGTTTGAACGTTCGTTCGTCTTGGCTCAAAGCCACTTGCTGAGAACTTTTCTTCGCGGAAGCTTTGCGTTAAACAAGTGAGATAACGAAATATTTAATCTCTATAAATTTAATCTGTTGATGCGTTTCCCCCTTTTGCAGCGACTTTCTTCTAGCAAGATCGGCAGACAGGGTGACCGTCCTCGATTAAATTGCCTTCAGGGCTCTTGTAAAAGCCAAAATACGACCAGACCACCAATTTGGTCCTCTTAGATGGCTGAAAAATCGCCCGAGCGCAAGATCGGCAGACAGGGTGACCGTCCTCGATTAAATTGCCTTCAGGGCTCTTGTAAAAGCCAAAATACGACCAGACCACCGATTTGGTCCTCTTAGATGGCTGAAAAATCTCCCGAGCGCTGTCACTGCCTTCCGCCATTTCCTCTCGTGCAAAAAACAACAACAACAACAACAACATTGCATGCTGCTTCTGCGTCAGACTGATGCTGGCTGGACAGGATTTACCGCGAGTTTTCAAAATTGCGATAATCAAACACGGTTTTGATAATTAAATTTTAAACGGTAATACTAACCGTCAGGGCATTTTATCGTGATTTATCGTAAAACCGGTAATCGTTCCATCCCTACTGCCAGCATGACCGGTGTCTGAAGCATGTGTAAAACAGCGCCAATCCTATTGGTCCACGTGGCCCGTGACGTAGGAACACAACCATCGTCGGATAGCTATGCTATGTGAGCAATAGTAGCCAGGATAATAAGACCACCGAAGAGGCTGGAAGCATAGAGAAGCTCAAAAATTGCTACTAACAATCTCAGCTAGAACACAGATATCCGCAGATAGCTATATCCAAAGGGTCTTATGAAATGAACCTTCCTAAAAAGCTGCCCAGACCAGGGAATGGGCTATCTACTTACGACCCTAGCAGCGGAGATAGCACTGTCTAGGCAAGAGCTCAGGAAGACAGCTACTTAAAAACCTTAAGAAGGGGAGCAGTCACTGAGCTAGCACATAGATATCCCCAGATAGCTATGTACCTAGGAAGTGCTACCAGAAGGGGAACGACTGGACTACCCAGTAGGCTTGCCGCGATAGACGGTGCTGATGGTGATACCGGTGTTAAGCCGCAACACCGGTTACGTCACTTGCCCACCGGGTCACCGAACCCCAACCATCGTTTTGATTTTTTATAGTAATAAAAATCATTTAGTTCAGTAAAAGAACAGAGATTACAATTCAAAACTGAACGCGGCTGCTCAATGCAGCGTGCCGAATGACAGTCGCATCACAGATCAAATTTCATTTCTCCAGTGAGGAGAGTGAGTCGAGCTGACTGACAAGAAGAGTGAAGTGAGGTGAGACAGACAAGAAGAGTTAGGCGAGGTGAGACAGACAAGAAGAGTTAGGCGAGGTGAGACAGACAAGAAGAGTTAGGCGAGGTGAGACAGACAAAAAGAGTTAGGCGAGGTGAGAGACAAAAAGAGTGAGGCGAGGTGAGACAGACAAAAAGAGTGAGGCGAGACAGACAAGACGAGTGAGGCGAGACAGACAAGACGAGTGAGGTGAGACAGACAAGACGAGTGAGGTGAGACAGACAAGACGAGTGAGGTGAGGTGAGAGACAAGAGACGAGAGGTGAGGTGAGACAGACAATAAGAGTGAGGTGAGGTGAGACAGACAATAAGAGTGAGGTGAGACAGATAATAAGAGTGAGGTGAGACAGACAAGACGATTGAGGTGAGACAGACAAGACGATTGAGGTGAGACAGACAAGACGAGTGAGGTGAGGTGAGACAGACAAGATGATGGCGGATGATTTAGTTTCGAATGCCTCCAAGCTTTCTTATTCGTTTTGCTAATAAACTTTCTACGTTTCTTATTTATTTGGTTATATATTATACATATTTACTTATTTCCAGTTTTGTATACCTATTAACTTTATGTAAGTTATTTGTTATTTTATATTAGTCATAGCTTGCCCTATAACATGGTGTATTTTTATTTGTTTTGTTAATAAAAGCGCGGTGATACCGGTATTACCGGTGTTGTCACATGTCGATTAACCGGTGGGAAAATTTCCTCACCGTCACAACACTACTACCTAGACCACAAAAAGTGGGCTGTCCACTTACAACCCTAGCAGGGGAGACAGCACTGACTAGGTAAGACACAGCCTATTAGGACTGTGTATCACCAGCAAAGTCACGATACGATACATATCACGATACAGAGGCCACGATACGATACGTATCA